ATTAATAACGAAGGTACTCCCGTTCTTTTCCTCAGACTGTTTATGCCGTATCATTTGTTACGCATTTGCTTACAGTGTCAAGACCAACAATTGGAAATTCGCACAAAGGTACTATTAGTGACTTCAGTCAGTCGCACTTCGTAGCGTAGCTCTGCAATTACACAGCTCACAAGTTTTCCATTTGCTTTGGTCAGTGCTACATTGCCTGACATTTTTTCTGATTCTGAATACATGGCGTTAATAAAAGTGCACATTAGCACAGCTCAATAGTTTACAGTTCCGTTATGCGGATCGAGTCGAAAAATCTATGCTTGTTGTTGGCCTGATATGCGCAATCGTGAGTGGCATTGGCCAACCGGTTCTGGCTATATTGAGCGGACAAGTGACGAATGTGCTGCTCACTCAGGCTCCTGGCAGTGAACAGTTCAACAGCAAGGCTTATTTGTGTGTTTATTTATACCTCGGTATTGGATGCCTCGTTTTAGTAATGAATTACGCACAGGTAATGGCAAAAAAAAGCATTCTGAAGTATTGAATATATTAGAGACTTCTTAACTGCAACAAAGTCGTCCTGGCTGTCAGTGTGAATACCCCTGTTAGTGGTGTTACTGGGATACTTCCACACGCAAGTACATCATGCTAGACCCTTCGACTCTTGGCTTATAATTAAACATACTTATAAGTAATACATGCGTCAATACGTATTGCGTAGGAGGCAGAAGCTCGGATCTAGTTTGTGGACGTTTAAAAGGCATTCGCTATTCAGCATATTTAAATTTTAGTGACTTTTGAAGTAATCCAAACGCTCCTTTTCCTTTTTTTCACATTCTTCATTTCTCAGTTTTTTTTTTTTTTTTATTCGTTTTACGCTATGTAGCAGCAGCACAAAAACTTCATTGCTACGTTGTTTGTTTGTTTGTGTGTGTGTGTGTGTGAGTGTGTGTGTATATGTGTGTGTGTATGTGTGTATGTGTCCGAGCGCATTTTGTCCCGAAGTTTCAACTCGGGAATTACAATATCTATGAAGCTGAAATTTCAGGTGAATTTCCAGCCCACATGTGATCCCAAAATTTTAAACTTCCCGGGTACTACGTGCAACCCCTTGAAGGATTTGGTGGGAAAATTACTATGTTTGGAATCGCAAGGCTAGACATCTGAAATTTTTATCTGCTCCCAAGGGGCGAACCCGCAAGTTCAAGTTTTGTTTTCATGCGTACCTGGATTCAAGTACGGCATCATGAAAGTTCTGCCGCAAAAATTATTATCTAGGAAACAAAAAGAATTTGGGGGCTAGGATTTCAAGATGATGTTTTCTGCCTTTGCAGAGATCTCACAAACTCAAATCTAACTACTGTGCTTGCCTAGATCTCACGTACGACTAAGTGAAAGTCCTGGCGCGAACGTTACTAACTCGGAAACCAGATAATTAAGAAGATAAAGTTTGACAAGGATGTTCCCCTTTATGTGCGATCCAAATGTTTCAAATTCAACTTCCACGTACAATTACGTTTCATGCGCCGCTGTGTGAAATTTTCATTGGGAAATTAAGAACCATGCAAAATATTGACTTTTTTGCACACCCCAAAATGTAAAATTTTTAATAGCAAACGTCCACTGGGCGGAACTACGCAAAACGTATGATTACACCGGCTACTCTAGGGAGCGCTGCTATTTATTCATCTTTTTCTGGCATTTTCATAGGTTGTTTGTCAGTGTTTCATTTTCTTTATCACCGATTATTATTTCGATTATCACAGACAAGTTTTTTTTAGAATACGCATTTTATTCCCATCAAAAGTTGGATGACACAAATTATCTGTATGTACGTTACCGTATTTACAGTTCATGTGTTTGCAAACGACATGCTGTCGACTAGTGGCTCGCTTGCGCCAGCAATACATCCGATCCATCCTTCGTCAAAATGCCGCATGGTTTGACCGAAATCAAAGTGGTGAACTGACTACGCGACTCAATGAGTGAGTGACTAAATAATTGGAAGTGTCCTGCGTCCAAGCAACTACTGTGATGCTTGAACAACTGCTATTTTATCTCGCGTTTTTTCTCGACACTGATGCAGCGAGCAACTTAACCATCCCTCTCTACTTTGAGCTTCTCTCATTCAAGCCGTTTATTCAGATCCTTCCGCATATTCTTTTAGTGCTGTGCATCAGCATGTTAAACACTTTTTTTAAAATGTCCGAGTCCGACCTAATCAAATGTTCCGCATGCATGCAATGTAAGTATGCCTTCCAGTTAGCATTATCAGCACTTGTTATAGCAATATCGAGCGTATACGTGAAGGAATTGGTGATAAGCTAGGACTGCTTGTTCGCGGCTTTGCCATGTTCATATCCGCCATTATCACTGCATTCAGTTTTCAGTGGCGTCTCGCGTTGGCTATGGTTCCTGTTGTCCCTATAAGTTGCTTCATTATGGCACAATTAGCACAGGTGAGCCGCAAAAATTTCAGTGTTCCATGTCATTCAAGAAAGACCTGTATGAGTTAATTATAGCAAATTCCACTGCAAAATGAAAATTCGTGACAGTGGCAATCCACGGGTTTTTCTGGAAAAGCTAAAATTCTTTTATTAAACAAATGAATGCTGATAATTTTTTCACTCATCAGTCAACCGAAACGGCACCTTACGGTTCGCATTAACAGTGAGCGATTTTTTTTTTCTGGTTAGTTATTGTTCTTGTTTCAACCTCTGGGTTATAGACTTAGCTGTTAACCTTTTCTTCATCTTCTAGGCTTGATGCAGGCAAACTAGCACTCTGCGTCACCTTGTTTTCGATGTGTTAATTTACATGCCTACTTCCTTATTTTAAATTAGAAAGCTGTCATTACTCGTTTGCTTCACAAATTTTTAAATTCGTGGGTCTTTTATTTAACAAATGAGTTGGAGCAGATTTTAGCAAATGGGTTCGAGGACAGCAAAAGAGCTGATTGGCATTGGAAAGGCCGGAGCTATTGCTGAGGAAGCAATCCTGGGTGTGCGCACAGTGCAAGCATTCAACGGACAAGAAGAGATGGTGGAGCGATATAAAACACAGCTTTCCAGAGGCAAGAAATATGGCATCTCGAAAAGTTGCTGGAGTGGATTTCTTGGTGGACTGTTTTTCCTGGTGCTCCTTATATTCATGGGCGGCGGGATGCTGTTCGTTTTTCATTTAAATTTAATGAAAAAAAGAACTGAAAATAATTCGCAATCAGTTTCTTAGTATTTTTGGTAAAGAGAGAAGGGGGCCTAATTTATATAAATATATGAAGCAAGAATATGTATCCTAAGGTCCTACAAGTCTTGACTCAAATTTCGTTGAAGAACTGGAAAGCTTAAGTCGTTTAGAAGTAAACCAAGAAACCCGTTGCTGCACACCAATCTTTAGCCATCTTGATTACTTTCTTAGCTTGACTCTTGACGGATTCTTCTTGCTGACCTCGAACTGTTAAGGATGATTTCGTGGACTGTGTGGGTCTGTACTGAAAGATTAGTTTAAAGGCACAAATAAAAAGAGCAATCACAAAAACTCGGCTCGGCCGCCGTTGCGAGAGATTTTTGTTTTTTTGCTTACGATATTTCCGGAGTCGCTTGCTGGCACCGCCTGGCAATTTGCCAGCAGCGCTGGATAGCGTTACCCAGGCTTCGGTAGCTTCCGACCTAGTTGGGGGAAGGAGGGGACGGTAGTAGAGGGGAAGGACTTGATTGGGGATAGTGGTTAACCGATGTCCAAATGCCCTCTGAAGGCAAAGTCTGGGGACAAGATGGGGAGAGAGGCGAGGGTAGTAGTTCAAGGCATGAAATGGAAAAAGTGGTTGGGGATAGTGCGTAATAGGTGCCACGATGCAGCTCTGGAGGCAGAAACTGGGGACAGGATAGAGAAGGGGGACAACGATTCTAGGCAAGGACTGGATACAGCAGTAAAGAGGAGAAAGCACAGCACTGCAAACAAAAGTAAATTAAAACAAACCTGAACTTCTGAACAAAAGCAAAAAAGCGGAATCAAAGAATTGGAACCTATGAATAAAAGTAAAAAAAAGAGCAGAAGCAAACAAAAACTGAGCTTGCGCGGACGAAATTTGCATTATATTACCCGTCTTCGGTAAGTGGCTTCCCTATTTATGAAGCTGATGTTTAGGTGAAGATGAAGGCGAATACGTTCGACTGAATTACATAACAATTCCATGTAATTCCAATGTGTTGCCTTTCGCAGTCTGCAATTGTACACAAAAGCTACACCTCTGTTTTTTTTCCCTTCAAAAACTCAAAAAGCATAGACTGGCTTTATTCCCATGCACCCACTCCACCCTTCTTTTGGCTCATTCATATCCTATGATGTAAGTTATTCGCTCTCAACTTTATCTAAGCGTTAGATTCGTAGATAGGGAAGTTCCTTGCTGATGACAAGTTTTTATGCGTTTTTGCATAACATGCAAAAACATATATTGTGACGACTCCGGTGTGTGTGTGTGTGTGTGTGTGTCCGGGTACTTCAACTCGGCACCCAAGCAAGCTCCGGCGCCAAAACTTTGCGAGAGGATTCCCAAGCCAAGTGCCACCCCAGGACCGCGGTACCAACCCTGAAGCACGTCTAGGCCCCGCGTACGAGTGCCTCAAAGTTTTGGCGAGAAAATCGCTAACTCGAGAATCAGAAAAGCTAGGAAGCTGAAATTTTGGGGTTATGTTCCCAGTCCAAGTAGAACTCAAAGATTTCAAATTCGTGGTTCCCGCGTGTGGCCCCGTGAGGGTCCCTGACGCGAAAATCACTAGCTCGGGAACCAAGAAAGCTGGAAGGCTGAAACTTTCAGGAAATTTTCCCAGCTCATCTACAATTTAAATTTATCAAATTCAGCCCCCGTCCCCCGTTTTGGGTGTCTGCCACGTACGGCCCCGTGAAATTTTCTGGTTGAAACTTGGATAACTCGGGAACTGAGAAAACTGAGAACCTGCAATTTCGGGAGAATGTTCCCTGTCCAAATATAGCGTGAATAATTAACTTCCCGAAACTCGAGGACCAGTATGTACAAGAGGTTTCTAGCTAGCGGAATTTCGAGAGATCTTAATGCAGCACGAAAAACTGCAAAAACGCATGATCGCACGGGGCCGCCCAGCGCTTGTCGCCAACGATAACAGAAATATTTTCACTACCACAGGCTCAATTTTTATTCGTTTTTTGCAGCAATGCAATGCGAAAAACGCATATTGACGAGAGGTTGTCTGTGTGTGTGTGT